ATCAAAAGATAATATAATATCTAAGAATGATAAATTAATTCGAATATTCTTTATTTTCTCCCAATATTAATACATATCAAATAAGAATAATATCGAATAAGAAAAATCGATAATGAATAAGATCTTATTATTTTTCAATCAATTATATAGAAGATTTATTTATATAGAATTCTTTTTAAATCTTATAATTGAAACATTATGAATTCTGAAATAATTGTAATCTCAATTTCAAAGATCTCATTATTTATCTTATAAAATCATAATTAAATGAAATCAGAATTTCGACGTCAAATATTCATTATAAACTAGATATTCATAGCTAATTCAGATAATTAGAGATAAATTCAGAGAATCGATTATATATATATATATATCTAAAAATTTGGAGAAATATCAGAGATATATAATCATTAAGAGCTCACAATACTAAAATATTAGATATTTCATTATCGAGAATATACCTACTAAAAATTTTTAAAATCATATTATCGCGAGCCTTCTCCTTTAAAATACTGAAAATTCTAGAAAATTTCATTTTATAAAATTTCTCTAAGAGTATGAAAATTTTTGAAAATTCAATATTTTAAGAGAAATATTCGTGATCATCAAATTTCAGAAATTTTAGTATTATGAAAGATATTCTCAAGAGATTCCTAAGCATCGAAAGATCAAATAAGAGATCAAAAGTATATAGAAGAATGGTTATAAAGAATACGATATCTTGATTAAAGAATAATTTCAAACAATACAATATCAATAAATTACAATAGAGATATATTATCGCTTCCCTCATTCTTCTATTTTTCTTACTTCGATACAATTATATCATAATCAAAATAAACCTATTTTAATTTTGACATCAAAATATTTGCCAAAATCGAAATATAAATTTCTTCTTTCAAGAAAATATCGCTATAATTATCGATATAGAATAGATCTATTATAAAATTTCTAATCGATACTCTTGTAAAAATCTATATCAAATCACAAGCATACCATCAATCTTCTTAAAATTAATATATATCTATATATATACATATATATATATATATATATTTGCATATATGTATATATTTATACATATATAAACTTGTAATCGAAATAATAGCTTTTTTATCTAACCTAATCTATCTATCTTTTTCTGAACCCAATTCTGGCCCCTCAATTACAGAAGGATAGCATCGAGACGTTTCCCATGGATACGGTCCATCTGAGGGATGTAGTATACAAGTCAAAGTTTGAGAGATGAATCCTAGTTGCCCATCAATCAATACCGGAATAATAGTCGCTCAATCTTTGGGCATAACGAGAGACAGTTGCTACAATATGGGTGGTTGTCAAAAATTATGGTCTCTTTTTGGGTCCTTATTATAATACGGCACCTATTATTTAGGGTACCCCAAAAGGGACCCTAATTTTGACAACTACCAATATAGCAAATGGCAGCAAATAGGGGACCCTAATATAGTACCCCAAATAGTAGGATCCTTATTATAAGGACCCCAAAAAGGTACCCCTTATATTCGGAAACTCCAATGCTACCCTAAACCCTAAACCCTAAACCCCTAAACCCTAAACCCTAAACCCTAAACCCATATAGTAAATGGCAGCAACAAGCATTTCCAAGCTTTCAGCTCTTGGCTCCCTTACGCATCCGCTGGCGTATACCCTTAAGCCTGGATCCCGAAGCCTGAAGCCTGAAGCACTAGTTTAAGGGGTTTAGGGTTTAGGGTTTAGGTTTAGGGTTTAGGGTTTAGGGTTTAGGGTTTAGGGTCTAAGCCCTAAACCCCCCCGCCTAAACCCTTAAACCCTAAACCGCAGAAGCCCTTTGCACGCCGCTGCTTCTGCAAGAACTGCAGCCTCAGCCAGCAAGCTCGCGCGGCCTGCCTGGAATCTGGTGGAAGCTCGAAATGCACTGTAGAACCCTTACAAAGAGCCCAAATCAACGAGATAAAGGTGTAAGAGCCATGAACCCTAATAAACCCATACATACACGATCAACCCTAAACCAGAGATATACGGGCCTTACTAATTGGAATAAGGTCTTGGGGTATACTAACGAATATCTATAATAAGGAACCCTAAACTAGTCTTCGTAACTGCTCAGGCCCCTATCTGAAGCTTAAATGGCTAAACCCTAAGCCCGCAGCCTAACCCCTAAACCCTAAACTCTAATCCCGACTTGGAGTTTCATGGGTAGTTATAAGTGGAGTTATAAGTCCCCTAATATAGGATATAACTATAGTTACACTATTTTCAAGCCCACTTATGACTACCCATGAACCTCCAAGTAATCCCTAAACACCCAGAACCCGAAGCTCCTTTCTTGACTGGGAGTTGGGATTAGGGGGACCTTTGAGGATATAGACCCGCTCAATAGGTCCCCTTTTTAGGAGAGAGCCAGAAGTAGGGTTGAGAAGAGTCCCCTTCAAGGGGTCTCCCTAATACTACCTAGGACCCTAAGCCTAAACCCTAAACCCTCAACCCCAGGTCCTGGCATCTGAGAAAATCTGCATCATGGGATCCCAGCTTGGTCTCCAAGGTGTCAAGGGCCTGCGCGGTTCGGGCTTTTCGAGCTTCGGGCTTGCCAAGGTTGACTTGATTCTTTAAGGTTTGGGGTTTCTAGGGCTTAGGACTTCGGCGGGTTTTCGGGTGTCTCGTTTTTTTTTTTGGTGGGTTTTTGCTTTCGGGGGAGTTCGGAAGGTTCTTGATAGCGCTTCTTCACTTCCTCCTGCAGTTGCGAACCACCCGCCACATCTTTGCCCTTAAAGAAACTAGTGGTTGTTTCGAAAACGATGGTCCTACTACGCTTGGGTCTGCATCAGTATCCGTCTTCTCTGAAAAACCCAAAGCCCTAAACCCCTAAACCCTAAACCCTAAAACCCACAATCCAACAGTGGCTAGGGCCTTGGTCCAGTTGCTGAGACTGGCCAAACTGGAGACGTGACATGCTCCTGACTCTCCAAGACGGCCGCCAGGAAATACGGTTGATGGTATAAATCCTGCATTGCCCATAATAAGGAATATACCATATTTCCCACAGTGTAGGGTCCTTAAGGTAATGCAGGATTTATACCATCAACAGTAGGGTTTAGGATTTAAGGCTCAGTCGAACTTTCAGAATCCAAGAGGGTCCATGTACACTACGATTATGGAATTAGGTCCTCAATACCATAATGAGGATGGCCTTTTGGGCATGGACCCTCTGGAGTGATACTAAGATCTGAGAACCTCACAACAAGATACGCTGGAATACTGTTGATGAGAGGTCAGACTCAAACCTAAACCCCCAAACTCTAAACCCACTAAGCTGTAAAAACGTCCCGTAAACCCAAAACCCACTAAGTTGTAAGAACTTCCCCTAAACCCTAGACCCACTAAGTTGTAAAAACGTCCCCTAAACCCTAAACCCACTAAGTTGTAAGAACTTCCCCTAAACCCTAAACCAACTAAGTTGTAAAAACGTCTCCTGAACCCTAAACCCACTAAGTTGTAAGAACTTCCCCTAAACCCTAAACCCACTAAGTTGTAAAAACGTCCCCTAAACCCTAAACCCACTAAGTTGTAAGAACTTCCCCTAAACCCTAAACCCACTAAGTTGCAAGAACTTCCCCTAAATCCTAAACCCACCTAAGTTGTAACCCTAAACCCTAAACCCACTAAGTTGTAAGAACTTCCCCTAAACCCTAAACCAACTAAGTTGTAAAAACGTCCCCTAAACCCAAAACCCACCTAAGTTGTAAGAACTTCCCCTAAACCCTAAACCCACTAAGTTGCAAGAACTTCCCCTAAACCCTAAACCCACTAAGTTGCAAGAACTTCCGATTAGAATAAGTCCTCGCAGGAGCTCCTCAACAAGGATCAAACGGGCAAATTTTCGTACTTTGCGGACGGAGTCTCCCAAGATGAGCCGTCGGCCTAATAAGACCTGATGATGCAATTCTGTAGCCTCCAGCCACCTTACTTCTGCAAAGGGCCAAGAAAGTGATTCAAACACCTCAACTTTCCGACAGGCACTAAGAATATCTGACCCTAAACCCTAAACCCTACCCTAAACCCTAAACCCAAAACCCTGAGACGGATATTGGAGAACCCTAAACCCTAAACCCTAAACCCACTGAGCCGCTCATCTTGACTTTGGAGAGCCATGGCCAAATTGCTCATGCAAGCGAGGGTGACCAGATGGCCTGCCCAGGGTTCAGGGTTTAGGGTTAAACGGTATAGGGTTCAGGGTTTAGGGTTTAGGGTTTAGGGCTTAGTTCAGGGTTCAGGGCTTAGGGTTCAGGGTTAAAGGGTATAGGGTTCGGGGTTTGAGAGTTCTGAAGCTGGCCTGCTCCCAGAACCTTCTTCAAGCCTTTCATGGCTTCCCGATGTATGCTCACAGCTTCTTCGCCTTTGCCCTGGCCCTGCAAAACCGTGCCAAGGTTGTCCAAGCTGGAGAGGGTCAGGGGGTGCTCCGCACCCAACCTGCCACGCCGCGCAGCCACCACTTGCCGATACAAGTCCTCTGCCTGCGCCAAACCTGGACTGCGGTACTGTTGATGATATAAATCCTGCATTACCTTAAGGACCCCAAACTACGGGAATTATGGTATATTCCGTATTATGGGTAATGCAGGGTTTATATCATCAACCGTAGCAAGGGCTTTCAGGAGCTTCTTGTATGACCAGGAGGGATATGGGTGAGTACCCCAAACCGCCACCTAGCGAGACCTGCATCTCTACGTAGGGCTTCCCAAACCCTAAACCATTACTCCTCAACCCCTGACTGGAAACGTATCCCCCAGCTTGGTCACTGGGTAGTTTAGAAAACTACCCCAATATAGTACGGCACCCTTATAAAAAGGACCCTAATTAGAGAACCACCTTACTAGTACCGGGACGCTTCCGCGTCTCTGCAACGCTGCTGCCAGGTTCTGGAGGCTTCTGGAAACCTCCGGGTGCTCGGAAGGAAGAAGCGCCTTCCTCACAAACAAAGTTCCACGGAAAGCCTTCTCCGCCCAGAAGTGATGGCCTTCCAGAAAGGAGGAGGACCCTAAAACATACGCCCGGATCGTTAATTTCTCAACTTCACAACCTTAAAGAAGGCATCCTTAAACCCCCCAAACCCTAAACCCTAACCCCAAACCTGTGGCCTTCCGTCTGCCATCGCTTTGCAAGGCCATCCAGGCAATCAATCAATCCGAAACCGCCTGATTGCAGCAGGCGCCGGACTCCTCTGTACATTCTTCGTGGTGCGGATCAAGATCCATCAGTGAGGGATTGGGGTTTAGGGTTGAGGGATTGGGGTTTTGGAGGTTAGGGTTTTAGGGTTTAGGATTTTGGAGGTTAGGGTTTAGGGTTTCGGGTTTTGGAGGTCAGGGTTTTAGGGCTTAGGGTTTTGGAGGTTAGGTTTTAGGGTGTAGGGTTTTGGAGGTTAGGGTTGTAGGGTTTAGGGTTTTGGAGGTAAGGGTTTTAGGGTTTAGGATTTTGGAGGTTAGGGTTTAGGGTTTAGGGTTTTGGAGGTTAGGGTTTTGGGGTTTAGGGTTTTGGAACTTAGGGTTTTGGGGTTTAGGGTATGCGAACAGCTCAGCTTTAATCACAGGATCTGCTTGACGTGTATCGACTCGGGAAGCCGTAGCTGCCACTACCGGCTAGGGGCGCAATACGTGACTTTGCAGTTGCTAAACATCACAGACAGGTAAGAACACCCCTAAATTCTCAAAGCCGTGATCTCAAAACCTCAAGTAAAACACCTTTAAATCCTCAACCCCAAAATACTGAGTCCTTAGCCTTAAAGCCCTAAGCCCCGAAACCGATAAGCAACTTAACTTCGAAACAGTCTTGATCTACCCTACTCTTCATGAGCACGGGGTCTTCATATTGAGTATTAAAGACTATAAGCAACTATTGTTTCTAATTATTCTGACCCCTATGTTTGAGTGATGTCACTCTCTAATACCCCGAGTCTAGAGGCTGGACGAAGGACTCGGATCTGCGAGCCATAAAAGTGTCATGGGCGATTTGAAGCAACTGACATGGGTTCTGGCTTCGGTTTAGGGTTTAGGGTTCAGGGTTCGGGGTTGTGCTTCCAGTTTAGAGTTTGGGGTTTAGGTTTAGGGTCTTGAAACATGTTTGAAATTCATTGGCTGCCGCATTGTACACAGCATCATTGTCTTTGCTAGCACTGTGCTCGACTTCGAACCCAGTCTTGATTCCCGCGTCCGGCATTCGCAGAATGTCGGCATGCTGTGCTTTCATACTTAACGAAGGCCAAACCGTAAACGAATCATCAGTGCTCTGTTTTCTGCTCGACTTACTTGCGATGCCAACCTGTTCGGCTGATTTATTCGCGTGAGGCTGCAATGCTCAAGGCGCATACTATGGTGTGGGTCTCACATATGGGGTCATTGGGGATCACCAGGGTATGCTATCACTATTACTCCGATCCTGACAACTATAAACATATGAGATTGAGCCTACTGTGGCTCAAGGTATGCGGAGTTCGTGGATTATCACTTGCCGCCGGAAGCAAGGCCACAGCTTAAGTGAATCGAGAGAAAAACGCACGGAATCTCCTGACCAGACCTCTAAACTTGAGATCTTCACAATACCAAGGCAAAAACCCTAAACCCTAAACCCTAAACCCTAAACCCTAAACCCAAAAACCCATAAATGCCCAGCCCTCGGAACGCCAACTTCTAAGCTCTCTGCTTCGCTGTGGCGCGCTACAAGGTCTGCGGGAGACTTCTGGTTCCCGAACCGCCATTGCTATATTCTTCGACCCACTGCAAGCAATCCCGACTTGGAGGTTCCGGTTTAGGGTTTAGGGTTTAGGGTTTAGGGTTTAGGGTTTAGGGTTTATAAGTGGTGTTATATGTCCTCTACTATAGGTTCTAACTATAGTTACCCTACTTATAACCCTACTTATAACTGCCCATAAACCCTAAACCCTATAGAAACTCTTAAAGGAACCTACTTATATCCATACCTATATAGTTACCCTACTTATAACCCTACTTATAACTGCCCATGAACCTCCAAGTAAGCCCGATGTACCAAACCGACCCCTTAGTTCTCAGTAGCAGACGAGAGCCTGACCTCTTGGGAACACAGACACTTCGCGCTATGGTTCGTGCTTCTTTTTGGGGGCTCTTCGGGCTTGTAGGGCTTTTAGGGGTTTAGGGTTTTAGGGGTTTAGGGTTTTGGGGGTTTAGGGTTTTAGGGGCTTAGGGTCAGGGCTTTAGGGCTTTAGGGGTTTAGGGGTTAAGGGGTTTGGGGTTCAAAACTTAGCGCGCAAACCAATAGATGGCATTGTGGCCTCAGTCCTGAGCCCTTCGAGCCCAGGCCTTGGTCTAGGTTTGGGGTGTAGGGTTTGTTTGGTGGTTTAGGGTTTAGGGTAGTTTAGCGTTTAGGGTTTAAAGTAGTTTAGGGTTTAGGGTGGTTTAGGGTTTAGGGTTTAGGGTAGTTTAGGGTTTAGGGTGTAAAGAGGCGAGAACTTTTTTTTAAGGCAGTTCTCCCACGGCTCACGATGCTTCAGCTTCCGGCAGCATGATTCTGCCACATCCGCGACATCCTGGGTGAGGGTTTATGAGGCTTGAAAAGGTAGGATGATCTCCAATGAAGAGCCTTCATATACGGGACCCTAAACCCTATTACCTTCATCCCGCTTTGGTCTTCGGGTCTGGGTCCAGGGTTCCCGAACGCGCAGCAGGTGTTGGGGTCTGGGCATTACGGAGTTGACGCGGAATGGCTGCACAGCAGGCACCCGTTGATTTTCGCGAAATATTGCTTTCCCTAGGAGACATGCGAAAAAGTCTCAAAGATGTGTGAAGAAATTACGAAAAAAGTGAAAATCGTCCAAAACCTAGGTTCTATTGCAGCAAGGACCGAGAGCCTCTGGAGCGCAGTGTTGTTGCACTTTTTTTTACGCTTTTTTGCATTTTTCCAGGCACAGCTGGATTTTTGGAAAATAGTGTTTCCCCTAGGGAAAATGCGAAAACAAGTGTGAAGAAACTACGAAAAAGTGTGAACATGGTCCAAAACCTAGGTTTCCACTGCAGAAAGGACCGCGAGCCTCTGGAGCGAAGCGATTTGCACTGCTTTCACACTTTGTTTTTTCGCCTTTTTTCCTGGTGCAAAACACGGTTTTTTCAGAAATCCAACTGTGCTTGGAACAATGCAAAAAAGTGCTAAAAAGTGTGCAAAAACGTGTAAATGGGCTTACTTGTTCCTCCTCTTCTACCATGAACTAGTCTTATATACGAATGCTATATAGCCGGTATCTGTATTTACGCCTTATTTACATGTTGTACCCTTTTTTACACTGTATTTACACTCTAAAGCTGTGAAGATCTACAGCTCTAAACCTTGTCATTGCACCCTAGGCTGTGAACGCAAGAGCCCCAAAGACCCACCTAAACCTTAGAACGAAATTCTTCGTAAAGCCCTAGAAAGTTTTATAGCACCTTTACATCCTAAACCCCTAAACCCTAAACCCCAAAGACCACCTTTCCAAAATAAAGAAAGAAAGCTCGACAAGATCTGCCGTTCCGAGCCGAAGAGCGCATTTTGCCTTCCAAGGGCACCAGCCCGTCGCACATCGCGCAGGAGAGAGGCTTCCTTACAAGGGATTTAGGGTTTAGGGTTTAGGGTCTCTGTCATTGCTGTGACTGTTACGGTTTAGGGTTTAGGGTTTAGGGGGTTATTGCTGTAGTAATGTTATGCTTATTGCTAGTGTGATCTCTAGTTCTGTTTCTACTGCTTCTGCTTGTAGCATCAGAATTTGTATTCGGAATGCTTTTGATTTTATTATGACAGTCACTGAGTATTACCAGATATTACCAGTGGGTTCATTACCATGAGTATTCCTGTTACTAGTGTTCCACGTCTTTGCTTGGTTGAAAAGCTGGGCTTACTACAATTGCGGGGCTTGTAGACCCTAAGCCCTAAACCCACTGTTTCAAGGAATTTTATGTTTTTTGGGCTTTGCTGGGGATTCAGGCTTCCTTATTCCAAGGCTTTTGTGGTGACGTTTGTGTGGGCTTCGTTTACGAATGATCATGGGGATGTAAGAGGGTCCTAACAAGAATCTTCAGGGGGCTATAGGTTCTGTATTGGTTGGGGGGTAGGGGTTTCAGGTTAGAGGTTAAAGCCAATACCCCATACCCCGTAAACCCTAAAACCCTAAAACCCTCAACCCCTAAACCCCTAAACCCTAAACCCCTAGACCCTAAACCCCTAAACCCTAAACCTCCTTAGGTTTACGGCTTAGGTTTTCAGACCTCTTGTCTGGGCCTTCAGGAAGTGACCAAGACGGGTTCGACAGGGATCCCGAGGCCTTTGCCTTGAAAGGATGCAGCTTTGCACTGATTTCCCAAAGAACCCAATACCCCTTAATTAAGGAATATACCTTAAATCATAATATTAAGGCCCCTATAATTTAAGGTATATTCCTTAATTAAGGGATATTTGTGGGTCTCTGCGTTTTGGGTCTTTCTGAAAGCTGAGAGGTCCACTTTTGGGGATTTTTATAACGTGAGTCCTGCTGGACGACTGGCGGCCGATACTTGAAGATCCTTGTTGCCTGAAACTCTCAAACTCAGTCATGGAGGGGTGGTTTAGCTTTTAGGGTTTTAAGTTTGAGGGTTTCGGGTTTCGGGTTCCTATGGAATTTCGATGCTCTCCGTAAGGTCAGGAAGTCAAAGGATCGTAGGAACTCTTGTAGTGAGTGGGCTTTAGGGTAAAGGGTGCACAGGTTTCATGGTTCTAGGGTTGAACAGAGGCTGCTTCAAGCAATGGATGCTGACTAAAGCATGAGTCAGATCGCGTAACGGATGGCATAGGAATCGAAAGAGAAGCAGTGCTGTAAGGCCCACAATCGTCGTAGTTGTAGTGGTAGTAGTAGCCGGAGGACGAGCACCAGCTTCAGTAGCAGAGGGAGAGGCAGCAGGAGTAGCTGAGACAAAGGGCAATCAGGATATTAGTTATTAGTTACTGTCACCCAGTCGTTTTGTCATATTCATCGAACACTGGGCACTTATCACACACATGACATCTAGCATCGAACCCCTGGGATAAATCAAACCCTGTTTGAATGATCAGGTTACTTAGTAAGTAGGTTTATAAGTACGGGAACTATACTTCGAAGTACTTATAACCCCAATTGGGGTACTTAACACCTTACATGCTACGTCCCACGATCCTTGAAGTATGCGCCTCTACTGTACACCCCAAACCCCAAACCT